GGAACCACTCCTTATCTGAGGGGGACTTTTCTGAAAGAGAAGGAAACCACTTGGGCCTCCAGGACAGGAAGGGTTGATGTAAACTAACTGCAGGTGAGACAGAAATAGGTGCCCTGCTGGCTAAGGAAGGAGAAAAGTAGCTCGAAGGACAGCTGGAACCTCAGCTCCCCAGTGCTGCCTCATCATTCTAGTATGTACTTTCGGTGGCTGTAAAACTTCTAACAGCAGGAGGAGTGTGGACTTGACTCTAACCACAGGGAGACTGCAACGGGATGAGATGATTGACTACCTTGGAGCAAAGGGTTCTGGGTTGAAATGAACCTCTTAAGAGTGACAGTTGTCTCAGGTAGTGGAGGAGCAAGTTAATACATGTGCTTTATCCAAATACACCTCTACCTCAATATAACGTGGCCTGATATAACACGAATTCGGATATAACGCGGTAAAGCAGCGGGGACGGTGGATCAAAGCAAGTTCAATATAACGCGGTTTCACCTATAACGCGGTAAGATTTTTTGGCTCCCGAGGACAGCGTTATATCGAGGTAGCGGTGTAGTCTGTATGCAGAGCCTTGCGTTCCTCCACCTACAATTCTAACTGAGATCTGCCGATCGCTTGCTGAGAGCGTTTGGAGAGAGAATGTTTATGGTCCAACATGTATTGGGCTAGCAGTAGGCTGGGAGTGGGGAGCCAGGAGGGGAACAGCAGGGGTTATACTTTTAAGGTCAGGATTTAATAGCATTGGGCAGGGCTATGTAGGAGGAAGCTTGTGTGACTTCTGTCCATGCTACGTTTGGCTCCAGCCGGAGCAATAACTTCCTCCGTTCCCCGGTCAACTAAGTTGCCAAACTTCAGAGACTAGATTTTAGAGGCACTGGGGCAGTTACTAAACTGAGGTCGCTGCTTGCTGGATTTCTTACAATAGCGGGTCTTAAAGCTTGACATCCAAGATCTCTTTAGATAACAGCAGGGTGGAAGATGCCACGCTCTGCTGTCTCTGTTTCGTGTGTTCTTCACGTGCAAGCTCTTCTCAGACGTATTGCATGAGGCTCACTAGGTAAGACTGTGTCTATACCTCTCTTCTCCTTCCTTTCCTCTTCCTCCCGCCAGAGCCCCCAGCCCGAAAAAGCAAATGTGGCATGTTTCCAGAGAACCCTTAGTTGCTGTGCTGCAGTGGCTATGGAGAGCAGTTGGAATGTTCAGAAGGAGAATGAAGAGTTGAAGATGACATGTCTGAGCCTGAGTGAAGAGGACAGTGGACTTGTCATAGTGGCACAGAAATGTTTTGGGGCAGGGTGACTACCGGGAGCACAGTTGCTCGCTGGGGAGAGGAGGCAGAGTTGGAGCCAGGAGGTTACCGTGGGGGAGAGGAGGAGGCAGGAACAGAGCGCACACAGCTGCTGGTGAGCGTCCTGAAGGGAATGCTGGGAAGTGGCTGGACAGGAGGGAGGGGAGCTGGAAGAGCTCGGTGCCCTGAAAACCCAGGGGGTTACGCTCGGTAGAAATTCCCTAGTGTTGTTCAGGATACCTTCCACCCTTGTCTCATCTTTCTGGTACTAGGGCAGCAAACTGTCCTCCTGTCTGGCCTGCTGTGCCCCCGTGTGTTGTATCTGACTCTGTTGCCGTGTCCCTGCTGGCTTTTGTCTGTTCTCCCTCTGTCCTTTTATTATTTGCATTAGAGTAATGCCTAGAGATCCCTAGTCAAGTCAGGTGCCCCCAAAGAGCTTCCAATCTAAACAGACGAGTCAGAGGAGGGTATGATCCCTGCTTTCCAGATAGGGAACCGAGGCTCGGATTTTGGGCAAGTCATATGACTGTGTTGCAGAGCCAGAAACATGAACCCAGGACTCCTGAGTCCCCGTCCAGTGGTGTAACCCCAAGGCCAGGCATCCATCCATCTTTCCATCCCTTGTTGTGTGTCCTAGCTCTCTCTGGGCCTTGCTTTCTGTTCTCACTCCTTGCTGCTTCTCTCAACCAATTCCCTCCGCTGCCTCCACCTCTTTTCCCCATTCTGTTCTCTCCCTCTCTGCAGTGTTGTCTCCCTGACCAGCCCACAAGCTATAGGAAATACTTGAGGGCCTGTTGTCCAGGGAGAATGGCTGTTTGCTCTGGGCCCAAACCTGCTTTCACCGCAGTCTCTCAATTGCTGCAGTCGGAGCAGAAGCAGGCCCCTTGTGCCCAGGGGAGTGACTCCGAGCCGCATGGTGCCGCACACTTCCATGCACGTATATTGCATATCTCCGAGGCTGTGATGCTTGCTGGTTCTACTTGTGGTTTGTTACTTAAAGGTGAATTGTGACACTCCTGCGGTAGGAATGGAAACAGAGCCTGGATCAGCCCAGCAGTAATTAAAGCATATTTCTCTCTTTGTGTTTCCGCAAATTAACGACCGGTTTCCAGCCAGTTGCTAATACTGCCTGTGGGGCTGCCACCATTGGTCACCCCAGTAGCAGACTTGTCTCTTGGTTTGCCGGATGTTTTCAGCCCAAGTGGAACTGCTGCTCAGAGGGCTGGCCCAGCAGCAGTGAACCTAGATGCTGGGTGGATTTCCATGTCTACTCTCCTAATCCTTCTGCAAACCTCTAAAGCTTCCTTGTTCCATTTACAGGCTTTGAACGTTTGCCATCTTAAGACACAGTAACCTCATGCTTGGGAGGAATAGTGCCTGGGCCTGCAGTCAGCATGGCATCTGGAGAGACTCCAGGCTTCATCTTGGAACTAAGCATCTGATTGCTTCTTGACTTGCCCCCAGGAGAAAGAGGCCTTCCTTTTAAATGCTAACCTATCGGTTCTGTAGGGCACCCAGTTGCTAGAGCACTGAGAGTAGAAAGGCTCCTGAAAGCCTCTCCATTGTTTTCTCTTCTCAGATCTTATTAGGGTGGCCAGATGTCCTGATTTTATAGGGACAGTCCCAATTTGGGGGTCTTTTTCTTATATTGGCTCCTATTACCCCTCACCTCCTGTCCTGATTTTTCACATTTGCTGTCTGGTCAGCCTAGATCTTATCCAGGAAGCAGTTTAAACCCTTAGTCCAACTTGATCAGCCTGATTTCATGGGGCGGGGGGAGGGGCAAGTCCTGAACCCTGGGTAAAGATTCCTGGAGCTGGCCCTGGCAGTGGGGGTTGGGACCTGCTTGTTGTCAACACGGATCTCAAAATACCAAGATGAACTAGATGAAAGACGGTTGGGAACTTTGCTGGATGTGTGTGGGGCACTTGTTCCCCCGCAGCCAATCAGTGTCTCTTCACTGGGAGTCCTTTGGGTGCCTGTCAGTCCTGAGTGTATCCACTCCCTGGTGGGCCTGTACAGGACCCTCCATTCTGAGCACCTGTCAACAGCCTTCCGTAAAGGTGACCTGCAAGTAGATGGAGAGCTCCGGGGCTGTGTGCTGCCAGCTTGCACGGCTGATTGCTCTGCGTACCCGGCCTGTTTGGGAGAAGCGGTACAGACGTCCGTGTCATCTGGTGTTAAGTATCTGGGCAGGTCACCTCCGAGTGATCTGTCCCCGCAGGAATTGCTGGGTGCATCCCGGGTGGGTGTGTCTAGCTTCGGGGAGGAGTGCGGGACTTATATTGACCCCTCCACAGGCCTAGGCTCTCCGGTTATTCTGGAGGCTCCATTGAGGCATGCCGACACTGTGACTGCTGGGCGGGCTGGTGAGGTGGCGCCCTATAATAGCCTGCCAGGGTGAGCCTCCCCTGGCAATAGCACCGGGAGCTGGTCCTGTGACCATGGCTGAACCAAAGAAACCCCAGGCCGGGAGCATAGAGTTAGCCGCAGTTCCTGATGTGACTGTTTCCACAGCCACTATGTCCACCAGGAGGCTGCGCAGCGAGGACTACAACGACTACAGCTCCACAGAGGCTACGCCTGACGGGAGCCCCCCCGAAGGCATAAACAGCTTTGCCTCTCCTTCATCCTACCAGCGGTTCGGGGAGAGCAACGGGACAACGTAAGTGACTGGTTCAGAACCACCTCTTCTCTCCGCTGGCGCAGACGGCCCGTGCGTTACTGAGAGTGGGCACTGCATTCGGCTGCTGGACACCACGGCCCCCCCTGTACTCCTCAGAGGATGCTCCGGGATCCTTTGGGTGTGAAATGTGCTGTGTAACCGGTAAAGAGCTACGGTTTGCCTTGCAGGCTCTCTCGTGCCTGTCCGTACAGGTCTCTGTGAGCAAGTGCTCCGCCTGCCAGGGTTGCTGTAAGTTCAGTCCAGGTGTGGATAGATCAGGTACTTTCCACAGATGCTGTGTCTCCACAGATTTTTTTTTTTTTTGGCAGTTTATTTCCCCCGTGAAGCCTGACTTAGAGATCGCATCTTAGTTTTTTAAAAGCAGCTTTGGATTTCCCTCTTCCTCCCACCCCCTTCCTCCGCCACTTTTTTTTTTCCCAGCCAGCTCTGACTTGGGGATGTGGAAGGCAAATGACTTGCCTGAATTCAGAGCAAATCAGTGGCTTGCTGGCAGTAAGGATGCTTGAGTTCACGGACCCATTCAGTATCCGTCGCTTCTGACTGCGTGGTCACCTGTTGGTGCAGCTGGGCTTACGAAGACCTGCAGGTGCTGAGCTCTGCTTGCTGCTCCGGCAAACGTATCCGCTGCTCAGAGATCTTGCCAGGGTATTTTCTGTTCCCAGCCACTGGCAATCTCTGTTCAAGAGCAGCCTAGGACTAGAGTGGCCGTGTGGCAGGGGGGCCGGGGCTGAAGTACGCTGGCAGGCTTGCACTGGGGCTAGAATATCCTGTGCCATTCCTGACCGTCTCTGTATCTTCTCCTCCGCAGATGGTTTCAAACCTTGATCCACCTGGTGAAAGGGAATATTGGCACTGGCCTGCTGGGACTGCCCCTGGCTGTGAAAAACGCTGGCATCGTGGTAAGACGGCGTCTCCCTTAATAGCACGGAGGCACCCACTCCGATTGCGGGTGGGGGGCTCCTGCTTGGTTTCTAGACAGAGGCATGTTGCTGACTTGGACTCAGGTCTTCTGTGTGTCTAGCACCTCCTGCTTAGATGGCTGCTGGGGTTGGTCAGAGGCTAGAAAGCGTCCAGCCCTACATCACCGGTTCCCCTCCCTGCTAGGTCAGTAGTGACTGCGCGGCTAGTGGCTGGCTGTTCAGAAGCCCGAGTGAAGAGCTGCGGTGTCGGGCTGGTTCCTTGGGGGAAGGCATCAGCAGGGCGTCGCTGCTGTGTTCCTCTTGGGGCCATTTCCTCTGCCCGGGCTTGAACAGGGTGTTGGGGAAGGTTTGCCTGTGGGCTGTATTGTGTAGACAAACAGAGGGCTGCAGACTCCAGAGCTGTGGGGCTGGCGCTTTTTGCCAACCGTACATCAACCCTTAGCAGGTCTCTTTGCAATGCTGCAGTTAGACCAGTGATTGTAAAGCCTCTGGCTGCTAGATGTCCTCTCACCCCCTTACCTAGACTGAGAAAACACGTTGTGTAAGGTCAGGCGGTCTCTTCTCCGCTTCTAGCAATTAAGTACAAGTGTAAGTCATGACCTAAAACACAACCTTGCCGTGTGACGACAACACGTCCGCCTAGCCCAGGTGGTAGAACTTGGGCGTTAACGCTGTCCCAGAAGCACTTCGCTCTGAACTGCATTCCTTAGCAGTCAGGTGCTCTGTTACCTTTCAGGTGCCGCTGAGCCTTCCTGCTTATTAACATTCTTGTGTATCTAGCTGCTCCTACAACCCTCAGGCACTGAGACAGGCGTCTTCGTCTCACCAGTATCTATAACAGACCATACAGTGCATAGCGCCAGCATCTGTGGAGGGAGCAGGCCGCCCTTCTGCCCATTGCCTCTGGAGCTCCAGGGAATCCTGACACTAAGTCAAACCCCAGCGGTTCCATTTCCCCCTTGACTTTGCTACTAATCTGGTGCCACGCGTGGTTTAAATACTGTCCATCTTCTGTAAAGCTCCTTGAGGGGCTTTGGCATCAGACGAAGCCAACATACCTCGCTTGAGGTTCCGCAGCTCTCCACCAGTCCGCAGGCGCGAGGTTGCCCCAAACCTGGGCCTGTGCTGTACTGCAGGGAACAATCCAGCATTTGGAAAGGCAGAGCCTGGATCCTACAGAGCTTTTCCCCCTCGCAGTTCTGATTCAGGATCAGAGCGGTGTCCCGCTGTGCTAGTAGTTTTGCGTGGCTTCCTTGGTACGCTCTTCTAATGCAGGCAGGACCGCGCTTGTGTTCTCAGCTCTCTGTACATTGCTGTCTAATGTGAACCCAGCCTTGCAGTTCTTGTTTTAACCATCAGAGTGCGCTCTTCTCTCTCTCTCTCTCCCCCTTCTCCTGCTGTCTAGCTGGGCCCGCTCAGTTTGCTGGTGATGGGAATCGCCGCAGTGCATTGTATGGGCATCCTGGTTAAATGCGCTCACCACTTCTGCAACAAGTAAGAGAAACCCTCGCTGCTGTCGGGCCTGAAGCGTTGGCCTCCTATCCCCTCCCCAGCACCCCCCTTGTCTTGGTTTTATGGAGCCCATTAGAAATGGTGACACATCCTTTAAAGTCCTCAGGCAGCATTCTGTCCGTTGAAGTGTGCCAAAGTGCTGAAAGCCCTTGTGCAACCTGTGGCCAGAGAGCTCTCCTTCCTGAATCCCTGGGGGGGGCGCATGGTGGGCGTAGAGGGTTGGAGAGGATGTTGCCTTCGTAATCTTGTAACCAGATTCGCAGAGTGTTGCACCAAGTTCCTCATATTGGGAAGAGGCTGATGGGGAGGAAAGTTTAAGGAGAGAGGCTATTATAAAGGCGATTGTGTACAGCACGTGATTGTGCCGTGCCTGGCCCTCTGAGTCACTCACGCAGCGTGTTACGGGTGTGCTCCTCGGTCCCGATTTCACACTACGCCCCCTTATCCCAGTACTGAGCCCGGCAGTGCACCTGACAGCACTGTATGTGTTGTCCCAGTCCTTGATCTCTCCATCTACCGCCACCAGGCAGTGAATCAAAGCTCTCCTGGTTCTGCCGACTCCTTTGTGAATCACTTCATCGCTCTCCACCTTTGCTTCCCCACCTGTAAAAGGAGGGTGGTGATGCCTCCCTACCTCCCAGGGGCTTTGGGAGGGGCACGTCACTAACACCTGTGATGTGCCGTGAGATCACTGATTGGGAAGAGCCGCAGAGGGGGAAAGTATTAAAGAACGAAACAGAAAATGGAGGAGGTCACTTTCACTTCCCATGGCCTGGTTATATCCCTGCTTGCACCAGTGTAGCCAGGAGCACTCCTTGTCTGTTGATTCGAGTCCCCAGCTCACACCTGCTTTGGGTGGATTCCCATCTTCCTCTGAGCAGATATTACGGGGTTATTGCTTGTGGTTACACAAGCTTCTGACGCTCCCATCTCCATTATATGGTATCTGGGTTCAACAGAGAAGCGTGACGGAGTTATTTACAATGGCCTAGCACAGTGGTCCCCAAACTATGAGGTGCGCCCCCCTACGGGATGCAGAGGAGTGTTTGGGGAGGTTCAGCAGGGCCTGGGCCAGCCTCCACGGGAGCGCCACCTGGCCCTGCTCTGCCCCCAGCTGTGGCCCCGACTCTCAGCTGCAGTGGCACTCGGACCCTGCTGCCCACCCTGACTGTGCCTCTGTTCTTGGCCCATCCCCAGCTGCGGCTCCGCTCTGCCTCCAGCCCTGCCCCCGGCTGCAGCCTCTGGCCCTGGTGACGGCCCAGCTGCAGTTCTGCTCCCAGCCATGGCTCCGGCTCCCAACTGTGGCCCGCGTGGGGGCGGGGAGGGATATGAGGAAAAAGTCTGGGGACCCTGGCCTAACAGTTGCCAATCAGAAATATCTTCAGACTTGCATCTAATAGCAGCAATCTTGTGTTATTCCCCCGGTGTGTGCCTCTGAAAGTAGATTGGGCCACCAATGTCACCTTTCTCTCTCCCTTCAGATATCAAAGGCCTTTTGTGGACTATGGAGATGCTGTGATGTACGGGCTGGAAGCCAGCCCTAGCGCTTGGCTTCGGACCCATGCCATCTGGGGAAGGTACCGTGTTCTCTTCTTGCTTTGGGTTCGGATTGGGAGAGGAGGAGCTGGCTGGGCTCTCAAACATGCTAATCAAATAGTGAGTAAAATAAGAGACTTAACTGGTTCTTCCAGTTCAGGGGAATGCAACCTCCTCGTTCTCGGCTTTGTCCGTAGCACCTTTCTTACCCTGAGAGAGGCTGCACAAAGCGAAGCGCTAGGGTCTGGCCAGGCTCTAGGCAAACACAACTGTTGTGTGCTCCGCAGTTGCTTGTATACACCCCTGGATGCTGGAGTCTGGCTCGCTGACAGGATTGTGTTTATTTCCTTGAAATGCGGGAGGTCATCCTTCCCCGTGTGCTCAGTTGTGGTGCTGTAGGGGAAATGTGGTACTTTAGTGCACGTGTCTGGGTGGGAAAAGGAAACTCATCTGCTCCGCAGCCTAGCAAGGAAGGGACAGATAACGCTAATTACTTCATTGCATATTGGCACATCTTCCTGTCAGCGGCTGGACGCTGCGAAAGCTTTAACTGCTGGTTCAAATGCTTCCCGTCCATCTCAGTAACTCCATCGCCTTGCAGGTGTTGCCGAAGTCAGTACGTTAGCAGTGTGTCTGTTACACACACTGACAATCCGTATGTGAAGCAGTGCTTATGTGGGGCAACAAGAGCCTGTAACACCTCTTGCTGGGACAGATCTCTTTGAACGCAGGGGGGAGAAGTGGCTGAGTCTCCCAGATGACCGGGGGGCGGTGCTGGTCCCTTCCACAGAACGGGGAATCTAAACTCATGGGGGTGCGGAGAGACACTCTTCAATTTAACCACTGAAACCATTTACCAGGGTTTGGGGTGGATTCTCCATCACTGGCAATTTTAACATCAAGACTGAATGTTTTCCTAACAGATCTGCTTGTGGAATTACTTTGGGGCAGTTCTGTGGTTTGTGCTATACAGGAGATCAGACTAGAGGAGCACAATGGCCCCGTCTGGCCTTGGAATCTATTAATTTTGGGGGTCTAGATCTTCATCCCCACCCAGTGTAAACTGTGCGCTTCTGCGCCTCTCCAAGCTGCAAGATAACGTCCCCTCCTTGGCCACAATCTTTGAGATGCCTTTACGGGTCTCTTGGGCTAAATCTCTAGAGGCCACAATGTCAGACTTACCCACGTCTAGCACAGGAAACTGAACCCTTTCTAAAATGGGAGATGGAGTGGAGAAGGTGAACGGAGAGCTTGGCATTTTTAAGCATAAGATGCAGGATCCCATTTCATCCCTTTGCTGAGACAGCGGTTGGAGACCACTCTTGCGTAGCCGAGATCTGTTCACGCACCTTTCTCTGCTTGCAGCTCCTCTGATGGGCCTGTTCCAGGTATTGGCTTGTCTCCTCGTTGAGAGGTTCCACCTTGTACCCGGAACATTTTAGTTTGACAGTTGCTGGTGCAGCCTTAAAAAGGTCTAAGAGGACACAAAGGGGCTTCTGCTGTGCGAGCTTGCTGGTGAAACGGAGGGAGAGGGGAAGCGTCTACCTCGGGCAATGCTCCCTCCTACCATCAGCAAAAGCAAGCCATCCTGATCACCCTTTGACCTCTAGCTCTGTATTGCAGCCTCCTAGCCGAGGAATCGCTCACACTGTTGATGTAGCATTAGGATCAAAAGATGCACTTCTAGCATGAGTCCGTGTCTTGCAGGCTGCACGGTTTTAGCATTAATGATTCTTTTTTAAATACTTTCTCTCTTCTCCCTCCACCCCCCACAGGTACGTAGTGGGATTTTTCTTGATTCTCACCCAGCTGGGGTTCTGCTGTGTGTATTTCGTATTTCTGGCTGACAATCTGAAACAGGTAAGACTTTGGCTTTTTTGGTGATAAGGGGGTGGGGAGGGGAGTTCTCTTCCAGATTTGGGGTGAGGGAAGAACTCAGGTTGTTCCTCCTCCTGCAAACTAAAACCCAAACCCAGGGAGAAGGGTCTTGCTTCCGTAACTAGAGCAGTACAGGAAAACGTAACCTTTCAGCCCAAAGGCAAAGATCAATATCCCGGCCGCGTTTGTGCAAAGTGGGAAAGTGACCGATACAACCTCCCCCTACCATGTATTTGTCACCGGTGATAAATGGCTGCTAGACCTCTTGTCTTCCACACTCACCGAGCGAACTAAGGCCAGGACCTGGAAAAAACATCTGCACTAGATAAAACTTGCCTGCCACATCCCTTGGCTTTGGATGCTTCCAAGCCTCAGGGGTTAAGAGGGGAAGGGGATTATCCCACATGGCCTGTTGCAGGAATCTTGCATCTTCCTGTCAAGCGGTTGGTACTGGCCGCAATCCGATGGGATATTGGACTAGACGGTACGGTAGCCCCTAGAAGCTCCGGTTGGGACAATCCCAATTTCAGGGGGAGGTTCCTATTGTAGAATGATGTCAACGAGAGCCCTTTTAAACAGGAACAAATGAATTAGGCCTCTCCTGTCCGGATGGCAAACTTCCCAGGGCAGGGACCGTAGCGTTTAAGGCCAGAAGGGACCATCAGATCATGTAGGCTGACCTCCTGTATATCACACATTACCAAGGCCGCCCGGCACCGACACCCTAAGCCCAGCAACTGAAATTAGACCAAAATATTACAGCCTAGAAACAGGCATTTGCAAAACTTCAAAGCAAGCTGGGAGTCCTCTGCATGCCTCCCCATGCCAGTTGCTCCTTTCCTCTTAAATGGCCAGAATCCAGCAGGCAGGGCATAAAAAGAAAGCATTGAAGATCTGACTGCGTCCCACGCTCTGAGCTGGGCAGTGTGCTGGGGGGAGCGCTGCCAAGTGTCCCACAAAGTGTCGGAGGAAACCCTGCCCACCTGCTTCCCCAGCACGAGGGGAGCTTTTCTGGGGGAACGCCCTTGATGCTGTGATGTATCTTTTTAAATAAGTGGCTGGAAAGGAGACTGCATCAGCAGTGGTGCCTACTTAATAAACACTCTGTGGGGAGCGGAGTTCCTGCGAGAAATCCACAGATGCGTGCCGGCTCAGCTAGTGTTTTGATCTGTTGGATGCTGGGGGGGAGTGTGATATCGCTGGAAACAGGCTTAGTTGGGTTTTATTCAGATCAGTGTAAATTATTACTCGTCTGGGAAAGGGTGGAGGTGTATGGAGGGAAGAGGGGAGAACAACCTCTGGTTGCTCCGAAGAACTGGGCCGTAATGTCCTGAAAACCAGTCTCCTCAGGAGGTGGAGAGAGGAGGGGGGGGGGGGGGGAATCTCCCAGTCACCACATTTGGGAATACACCTGAGAGAATTCCTGGGGGTTTAATGTCCTTCCCAGCGTTACGTTGCCTTCTGCCTTTTGGGGGCGTCCTGTCTCTTTTTCCACAGGGCAGTGAATTAGTCTGTGAAGTGGCTGCTCTGCATCACTGCTCTCTCGGTATGATGGGCTGTTTTTTTCCTTCACCTCACAGACCCTGTCATACTCAGGCGTGAATAGAGGGCAGGTGGACAAATGCAGCCAGCTGTTGGTTCACTGACCCCACTGGCTGTCACTGCTATTTCGAGGCAGGCTTCCTTCCATGGGAACCCTTCGTGTGGCTTTAATAATGGAGCAATCTCGGCGCGCCAATGCTGGCTGACCTACAAAGGAGCAGACCATTAGAAATGGAGATTAGATGTTTGCTTATTTACTGGCTGAGGGTGGGGGAAAGCCCTTTGCTGGTTTCAGAAGCCCATATTTTGGGGGCATTCTTTTACATGGTGGTAAAGTAAATCCTCTATGAGATCTTGAGCATTAAGTCTTTGCGCGATATCCGTGTTTATATTTTGTGCTGTGCTTTGCCAGCCCAGGAGTGGTTACGGCTTGGGTAATGCATTGTATACTAACACCAACGTGTCTTTAATCCAATCATGATGTGGCAAAAAAAGGAACAGGCTGTTTCCGCTTTATGCAGCGCGTGTGTGTGCGCGCATTGAGTTCTTTGTAAAAATATCCTGTGCTGTCTTTTTAATAGACTAGTTATGGGTTGGCTAAAAAGGGTTATTTGCAACTCGTTCGGAAATCCTAGCTCAGTTGTCCAGCAGTCTGACAGATTTACGCTTGATGTGATAGGCGAGGTGCTTGTCTCAAGTGTCTTTGAGGACCCAGGATCTGTGACCGTGGCAGGGGGTGGACGCTCTTGTGCCTAAAGCACAGGGCTGGGCTCTATTCCCAGCTTTTCATCGTGCGTGCTGTATGACCTCGATGCAAGTCTGAGTCGCTACGCCTCGCTTTCCCCAGCTAGGGACCATAACGCGTCTCGCTTGGGAGTCGGAGTTTCATGTGCTGTTTACAAAGCTCTGTAAAATTCATATGGAAGCAGTTACAGAAGTTCAAAGTGTTTTCATAGGAAAAAAACATGTTAAATGTCCCCTCCGTGCCTGCCCTAGAGTGGCGTGTTGGGTTATTAAAAGAACTTGCAGTATTTAAGTTTTGCAAATGCAACCTCTCTCTAAAAGATAAAGGCTGTGTGGCTCTTAAATTGAGAGACCATAATTGTGTGGCTAGGACTCGCCAGCAGCCCCGCGACTCGGTTGCCAAGTTCAGGTTATGACAGGGAACAGTTCGGGATCCAGAGGTTTTTTGGCTCCTCCCTCCAGGTGATCTCTGCAGCAAATGGCACCACCAATGACTGCCATTCCAACAAAACCACGGTGCTGACTCCCACCATGGACTCCCGGTTGTTCATCCTCTCCTTGCTGCCGTTCCTGGTGCTGCTCGTGTACATACAGAATCTCAAGTTCCTGTCCGTCTTCTCCATGCTGGCCAACCTCGCCATGCTGAGCAGTCTCATCATGATAAATTGGTATATCCTCACGGTACGTGTGAAGACCAAAGCCGAATGCCTCTCGAGTCTAGAGACCTTCCTGAAACCTCCCAGACCTCACTCAGGGACTGCATATGATAATCTTCAGATGTTTGAGAGCCGGGTGCGCCTCTCGGGGCTTCAGCCTGGCGGGGAAGGAGGGGTTCTGGGGGATTCTACCTGACCCAGAGGGGAGGGGTGTGTGTGTTGGGGAGCAGGGCTGAAGCCTCAAGAGGCTCTCTCCCACTGGCCAGAAGCACTGAGACCCGCCACCCTGCTGCAGGGCAGAAGCCCAGAGCTCCCCCCCGCCCCAAGTCTGGTAGGTGGCGAATCGGGGGGGCATGGAGGGCTCTGTGAACTGCACTTTAACTGTAAAAGAACCACAGTTTGGCTTCCCCTGCATTAGATGAGCTACTCTTAGGGAGTGCTGCAGGTCAAGACGGTTAGAGGAGGGGGTATGGTGGGGGGGGGGGAATGTACACTGGAGTCGTTGGGGTACTGTAGGTAAAGCATTAGGTGCACTGCACGGGGGGGAACTTACCCAGCTCTGTCAGTGCCGGGTGTTCACCTGCTTTCAGGAGCATTCTAGTCCACGTTTTGACAGAGTGCTTGGGAGCTGAAACTTTGAGCAAGTGCCACAGAAAAGAAACCTTTGGAATAGGCCTCGGTTTCTCTCTTGCATTTAAATCCCAGCTGCTCTTTTCTAGGGCCTTCCGGATCCCAGCAACCTGCCTCTCGTAGCGGGCTGGAAGACCTACCCTCTGTTTTTTGGCACGGCTATCTTTGCTTTCGAAGGTATCGGCGTGGTAAGTGTTGGCTTGTAGGCAGTGCAAGAACCGGCTGCTATTTGTGTTCTCTGCAGCATCTGTTCTGTATGTGCTGAGATCTCTCTGGGCTTGTAAGCCAAATGTGTGACCTGGGTGACTGGTATTCATTGTGTAGTCACTACACAGACACAGCTTCCCTCCGTCTAACCTCGTTGCTACTGGGGGAATGGAAGGGTATTGAGCCCTTTAAAGAAATCTTGAAAGACCTTTATACTTCAGCAGCAATTGTTCAATTACTTCCTCTTCAGATCTAATACTTTCAAAGCCAGTGTTCTGACTTAGAGCCCTTGGGGTCTACCTGTGTGGCACAGATGAATGTGGCCTATAGGAGTGAAGTTCCCTGAATATCTCTACCGGGTTGGGTTTTAAAGCTGCCTTGCTGGAGAGAGAAAAGACACAGTGACGTGAAGATTGGAATGCTTGGTCTATTCCCTCCACTTGAGTAGCCTGGTATCTTGCAACGGTTTCGGTTCAATTTCCGGCAGTGCCAATTATGTTTGTCTACTTCCTAGTAGGTGCTGTAAATAGAGCAGCATGCGGATAGTAAAGAGGAGGAAGTGGGTGGGTGGAGCACTTTTATTATCTTGGTTAAACATCAGAGGCTATTTCCCAGAGTTCCCTTTCTAAGAGAACAGCTGTTTTCATTTCTTTGTGTTACCTGGCTGCGTAAACACATGAGCTGGAAGCACCAAGTCCATTAAGAACATAAGAACGGCCACATTGGGTCAGACCAGTGGTCCATCTAGCCCAGTATCCTGTCTTCCGACAGTGGCCAAAGCACTGGTCTTCAGAGGGAATGAACAGAACAGGCAATCGTCGCGTGATCCATCCCCTGTTGTCCACTCCCAGCTTCTGGCAATCAGAGGCTCAGGACACCCAGAGCATAGGGTTGCATCCCTGACCATCTTGGCTAATAGCCATTGATGGACCTGTCCTCCAGGAACTTATCTAGTTCTTGTCTAAGATACCAGAGTATTGACTGCACAGACCTGTAAAGCAAGCATAGGGCGGTGGGAATAAAAGCTTTTTCTTTGGCTTAGTTTGCTTCTCTCACAGTCCTCTGCTCCACCAGCTGTGCTTCTGTGACCTATTGGTGCGCCCTCTTTCCAAACCACCGGAGTCGAAGACATATAGCAGCTAGCGAAGGAGCTCACAGAAATCTATATTTAAAAACCCAAAAGCACCACTGACAAATCAACTGTAAAAGAATAAGACTGGCCAAGAAAGAATTTGAAGAGCAGCTAGCTCAGGACACAAATACTAATAGAAAAAATGTAAGTCCATCAGAAGCAGGAAACCTGCCAAATAGCCTCTGGGGCCACTGGACGATTGAGGTGCTAAAGGAGCCCTCAAGGAAGACCAGGCTATTGTGGAGAAGCTCAATGAATTCTTTGCATCTGTTTTCACGGCAGAGGACGTGGGGGAGATCCCCACACCTGAGCCATTCATTTTAGGTGACAGACCTGAGGAACTCTCCCACACTGAGGTGTCCGTAGAGGGGGTTTTGGAACAAATTGATCAGTTAAACAGCAGCAAGTCCCCAGGACCAGATGGGATTCACCCAAGAGTTCTGAAGGGAACTCCAATATGAAATTGCAAAACTACTGTACTAATGGTAGTATGTAGCCTATCGCTTAAATCCGTCTCTGTACTAGATGACCGGATGATAGCTAATGTTATGCCTATTTTTGAAAAAGGCTCCAATCCTGGCCATTAGAGGCTGGAAAACCAAACTTTGGCAAATTGGTTGAAACTATAGTAAAGAACAGAATTATTAGACCCGCAGATGAACATGATTTATAGGGGATCAGGCAACACGGCTTTGGTGAGGCAAGATTTCACTTTACAAATCTATTACAATTCTTTGAGGGCGTCAACAAGCTTGTAACAAGGGTGATCTAGTGGGAAAAGGAAATTGAACTTTAAGAAAGCCTTTGACAAGGTCCCTTACCAGAGGCTCTTAAGCAAAATGAGCAGTCATGGGATAAGAGGGAAGGTCCTCTCATGGATCAGTATCTGGTTAAAAGATAAGAAACTAAGGGTAGGAATAAATGGCCAGTTGTCACAAAGAGAGATAAATAGTGGGGTTCCCCAAAGATCTGTCCTGGGACCTGTGCAGTTTAACATATATTCATAAATGATCTGGAAAAGAGGTGAACAGTGAGGTGGCAAAATTTGCAGATGATACAAAATTACTCAAGATAGTTAAGCCCATAGCCTACTGTGAAGTTACAAAGGGGTCTAACGAAACTGGGTAACAAAATGGCTGATGAAATTCAGGGTTAAGCACAAAGTAAGTGTGTTGGAAAACCTAATCCCAACTATACATACAAAATGCTGGGGTCTAAATGAGCTGTTAATATTCAAGAAAGCAATTGTTTAGTCATCGTGGAGAGTTCCCTGAAAGCATCCGCTCAGGGCCACTGAGAGCGGGTTTGGGCCCCGGTGAAAAATTTTTTTCAGGCCCCCCCAGCAAGGGCGGACCGGCTAACCGGGGCTGACGAAGCCGGGCCCCGGGGCCCCTTCTGGACCACGGGGCTTCTTCCGGACCGCCGGGTCCCGGTAATTTGTACCGGCTTCTCCCCCTCTCGTCGGCCCTGCATCCGCTCAGTGTGCGGCAGCAGTCTAAAAGTCTAATAATGGTAGGAATCATTAGGAAAAGGCTAGATAATAAAACAGAAAATACATAATGCCACTATATAAATCCATGGTGTGCCTACACCTTGAATACTGGGTACAGTTCTGTTTGACCCATATCAAAAAAGATCTATTAGAATTGGAAAGGCTGCAGAGAAGGGCAATGAAAATGATTAGGAGTATGGAACAGCTTCCATATGAGGAAAAACTAAAAAGACGGACAACAGCTAAGCAAATAGACAAGTAAGGGTGCGGGGGATATGACTGAAGTCTATGAAAGCATGACTGGTGTGGAGAAAGTGAACAAGGGAGTGTTATTTAACCCTTCACATAACACAGGAACTAAGGGTCATCCGATGAAATTAGTAAGCAGCAGGTTTAAAACAAATATAAGGATGTACTACTTCTCACAATGCACTGTCAACCTGTGGAACTCTTTGCCGAGGGATGTTGTAAAGGGCGAAAGTATAAAGAGTTCAAAGAAGAATTGGGTAAGTTCATGGAGGATAGCTCCATCAATGGCTATTAGCCAAGATGGTCAGGGACTCAATCCCATGCTCTGGGTTGTCCTTAACCAACTGCCAGAACCATCTGGCACTGGCCACTGTCATGGATAGGGTACTGGGGTAGATGGACCACTGGTCTGACCCAGTATGGCCGTTCTTAAGCACAGTGACCATAGGCTTGAGTAGAGGTAAAGCAACATGCTGCGAACTTCACAATGCACTCCTGCCATGCTCCCAGAAAAGTATCGTCTTTGTCTGCCACGTTACTCTTGATTACTAGGGTTTCTTGAAAATTGTTCGTCTCAGCAGTTTACAAAAAATTGCATTTTCAGTGGAATGAAATTGTTCAAAAAGTGTCTGATTTCCATGGAAAACTTCGATATGTTGTTGAAAGCCAAATGCACAAAACCTGAAATATTTCGATTCAAAATGGTGCAATTTGGGGGCTCTATGCTCCCATTCTCTTGTATAGGATGGGCTCGCTGCCTGGACTCTTCTTTGCATAAAGTCAGTGACTTCTATCATGAATTCCCTTCTCCAAAAGGGGATGAAGCATCATGGGAGATGTAGTCCCGCTAGCAAGCCCAGCCCTTTGAGGAGAATGGGAGCATAAGGCACCCAAACTACAATTCCTCTGAGGCATTGCTGCTTCATTGTTTTTCAGTATTTCATGGAAAAGTTGAAATAGCTTAAACCTGTGCTTTTGCTAATCCATCACCTTCTGGTTGAAATGATTGGGGAATGCTATCAGCTCTGTGTTTACAAAGTAGGGAAGGCTTAGTAGCTTCCTGTAAATAAAACCTGACACCTGCTAACTCCTACACAACTCCTTCAGCAGCTACATTACCTGTGGCCCAAGCATGAGAATAGCAGATGGGGCATTACAGAGAAAGTCCATCAGTTGAATGGCATTCTGGTACATCCTGAGTGAAGTTCATGTATAACTTACAGGGATGCAGTGCTGGTACTTTCAGCAGGAGATGACATGGTAAAGCCAATTCGTCTTAAGGAATGAGGAAGAATGTGAGAGGGGGTTTCCTTTGATCTATTAAGGGGAGAAGGGGGGTTTCTTGAAACCGTTTATTGTGAAGGGGGGGGATGGAAACCTACAGGATTCACAGAGATAGTGAAGCCAGTTAACAGTTCTAGATGTAGGACAAACTAAAGTATAACTTTATCATCCCGGTATAGACTAGTCCCACCCATGTGATAGAATTCTTCCCCACCCCCGGCAATCCCAGCCAGTAGTTCTCTGAGAGCCAGCAGTGCAGGGAGACTGGGTTGGACACGGGGATGATGATGATGCTCCCCCTCTGGAATGGAGCGTGGCGACCAGCTGATGCAGCCCGCAACAGGGGAAATCTTGCCCAAGAGCAGGATTTAAGGGGAGGGAAAATGGCATGGGTGTCTAACTGCACAGAGGAGATAGCGGCAGGGCTTTCGGTGCTATGGTACGTTGCGTGGCACTCTCCTTTTCTTTTGGAAGGTTGAAGGGATGAGCTGACCCCATTAGGATTTGACCATGTGATTCCTAGGAGCCTGGATACTTCATGCCAGAATCGTAGACCATGTAATCCACCCCTGGACCATGTAATCCACCCTACTGTTACCTTCCCAATTCCTTAACTCCTCTGCAGCGTAGCGACTTGGTTAGTCTCTGCAGTCACATGATTCCCTGCTCCTTTTCCTTGGGTCTTGTTGCAACATGGCGTAGGTGGGGGAGGTTCCCCGTGGACCAGGGAGCATCTCGTCCTGTCCAGCTGCTGCACTGTTGGCAAATGACTAAACCGCAACAGTCAGCTGTGTGTCATGGCTGCTCCTCACTGCTGCTTAGGGTCTCCTCTGACTATGGGGCACAGACCCAAAGAGGCTTCCTCAGCCAGCCCCGTCCAGGAAGATGCTGGCTCAGAGGTGGCGTGCTAGACTCCGAACCCATGGAGGTGAAGGGGAGGGAAATGAATTCAGTTTGGTTTTTTTTTCCTCCTCCTCCTCCCAGGTGCTCCCCCTGGAAAATAAAATGAAGAATCCCCGGCACTTCCCGATGATCCTGTATGTGGGAATGGCCATAGTCACCATCTTGTACATCAGCCTGGGGACCTTGGGATACCTGCGATTTGGAGCCAGCATCCAGGCCAGCATTACTCTCAACCTGCCCGACTGCTGGTGAGTCTCCAGTCAATGCTAGTTACCACTTCCCGTAACACAAGAGCTAGGGGTCACCAGGTGACCTTAATAGGCAGCAGTTTAAAACTAACATAAGGAAGTACTTCCCACAGCGCACAGCCAGCCTGTGGAACTCATTGCCAGAGGATGTTGTGACGGCGAAAATATAGCTTAAGAAAGAAAAAAAAAAGATGAGTTCATGGAGGATAGGTCCATCAGTGGCTATTAGCCAAGGTGGCCGGGGATGCAGCCCCATGTTCTGGGTGTCCCTGAACTTCTAACTGCCAGGAGCTGGCACTGTACAACGGGCCGGATCACTCGATAAATTGCCCTTTTGGGTTCGTTGCCTCTCTAGCACCAGCAACTTGGAAGGCAGGATCCTGGCCTAGATGGACCATTGGTCTGACCCAGTGTGGCCGTTCTTGCGTTCTGCGTGTGGGGCGCTCGCATTTCACATGCTGCAGAAAGGGAATCGGTGGATGTAATAGCTCTTAGTGCGGGGCTGCTGAGGGGATGAGTAGCTTGACCACACTCGCCTGCTGTCCAGAGCAGCATCTCAGGATACCACTTGGCCTGTGGTGTGGCCCTGCAACCTTTGCCCTGTCCCGTGTCTGCTGTCACTTCCTCTGTGGCAGGAGAGTGAAAGTGAATGTCTCTGCCATTTCTGAAGAGATTTGGCTCTGACTGTCCTGGTCTTTCCACCGTACTTGTAAGAGTAGCACAGACATTCTACTATCATGGAGCCCGCTACTGGTTTCCATCACCCATGGGTGCAGGGGAGGGAGGGTTAATATGAACACAGCACTTTCTATCCCAAAGGAGCCATAAGCTGTGACATGCATCAGTGACATGCAGGCAGTGCCAGGTGTGGAGTGTAGCATATCGGGGAGGGGAGGTTTTGGCCAAAGTTACCAAGGGAAACCTCTTCCATTATGAAAAGTGCCATAGGAGCTTTAATGTAAAGGTGGTCTCCAAAACACAGGCACTAAATTGCATCTGTATAAAGACTAAGCTTGGTTCTGGTGGGCCTTGAACCTATAGCTCCAGAGTGGGTGCTTAGATCACAGAGCTTTTCCCTCCGGGCTCCAGTCTGGTACTGGTTAAGTGCTACTTTTGCCTCTTTTCTTGGGATACTGTACCCCTCTGCTCTGCGTCTTCCTTTGTAAGTGGAAACCTTGCTGGACTTTCTGATTCATCACACGCAATACAGAGGAGGGTGTCTATCAGGCTCCAATCCTGCTGCAAAGATAGATATCTATCTCTACCCCTTTGGACCAGACTGCCCCACAGTTACATATATATATAAACTTCTTCATTAGGAAGCTGGTGGTTGGTAGACAATCAGAGTTGTTCAGTGTCTGCGGGTGACTGACCTCTAGGTTACCGGGAAAGGTGTGAGTGGGAGACAGGTTGTAAACAGGGCTCTCTTTTGGCTGTGGGTAAATCGTTTAATTTTGCTACCTTAGTTTCCCTGTCTTTCCTGTGAGAAGTAATGGGGTTTAAAGCACTTTGGGGATGAGAAATGCCAGGTGTTTTTACTGGGCTTGCATTGTGCGTTTCAGTCCAACACTCACTTCATTCATTAATCAAGGGCAACACATACAATTCAAGCAGGGTGCTTGCAGGAATGGCTTGTGTGTGGCATTCTGACGGGTGTCAATAGGCAGCCTCACGCTTTACCAAATAGCCAGTTTTTGTTTAGATTCAATTCCTAATAGGCTGATACTGGGGAGTGCCTTGTTTAGGGTGACCAGACGTCCCAATATTAGGGGCTTTGTCTTATATAGGCACCTATTACCCCCATCCCAGTTTTTCACACCTTAGCCTGGTCATAGAGAATGAGATTAAAAACAAATTTGCTTGGCCCCCAGCGGGCCCAGACAAAGGTGTAGCAGCTGCTCCAATCAAAACCCTCCAGCAACAGAGCTACCTTCTTGTTGCCAGCACAGAGTGCCCGAGGCAAAGCAACAGCGGGTTCGTTGCCCGGTGTGCTTCGCGTCAATAAACACACCAGGGGGAGAAGCAAACAAAGTTTATTTGGGATCCCAAAGCGGTGCAAGGAGACTGGCACGTCTCAAATCAAGCACACTAACAGGAACAGTTTTTCTTCTTTTATACATTTTGCAGTTAAGCCTCACCCCCCCCCTTTCCGCTCTAGCCCTCCCTTTCTCCCCCCCCATTCCTCCCTCTACCCCTCCTGTCCCTGGTAATAGTTAAGTCATTCTTGGCAGCTATAAGCCTAGCTTGTTAGTAACTTCTTTAAACCGTTATCTTGTCCTTTTTCCCTTCAGCCAGAAACATGCAGGCCTCATTATTACCGCTTGAGCAGGAGGTTGCACACAGATTACTGGTTGCTTCCATATTCCAATTGCACCTGGCTTTTGAGGTTGATTAGAGTTTAAACATGGAAGGATAGAGTTTGGTTCACTTAGGCCTAGTGCAGGAAGGCTTCATTGACACTTAGTGGCCTTCCACCCTCCCGAGTTACCTAGGGTGAGGCTTAATGACGTCAACATTCTCTTTTTTGTCAAAGACAGGTTTCAAAGGACTCTGAGGAACTAAGGTAGCGGGGAGGCAGGAGAGCAGGAACTAATTAAAAGCCCGGTGCTGTCTGCTAGCCGCTATGGGCTGTGTTTTGCAACTTGTTTGGAACGTGGAGGCTGTGGTAATTGATTCAATGAGGCGCACAGATGTGAGGCTTTTGAAACTGTTTGAGGTTTAACATTTGCCAGCCTAAGTCCAGGAGAAGGCATGTTGTGTAACTCCCTTTTTGTCTCGACTTGCTGATGTTCCTCTGCCACTCGGGGGCGGGGCGGGGGGGAGGATTTAAGTGTGCCCCTCTTCCTGGGAGGACGATCTCTTACTAGGATGCAGAGTGACTCCAACTTCTGGGGTCTAAAAGTGAAACATTCTGCTAGGTGCAGTAGAAACATGTAGAAAGACAGTCATCACCCCAGAGAGTTTACAGTCTAAACAGGCAAGACACAGGGTAGGAGAGCGGAAATATTACTATCCCCATTTTTACAGATGGTGAACTGAAGGGCAGAGGAACAAAGTAGCTTGCCCAAAGTCTCGCAAGGAATCTGACAGAGCTAAGAATTTAACCCAGCTCTCTGCAGTGCCTTAATCACAAGACCATCCTTCCTCTTTGCAGCATCATCCACTTTCTAAAACATCAGTGGCTGTTTCCAAACTCGGGGGTGGCAGGTTTGAGAAGCTGAAAAAAGGAAGCAGTGAGTAGAACTGGAAGTAAGAGTGGTGCAGTGTCTTCTGGACACACTTCAGGCTGTTTGCAACTTCTAATAAACTTTGGTTTTATTATAGACCAAAATGACCAAAACGTTGGGCAGAAAAATCCAGATTCTGAACTATGTGCCAGGCCCCTGCGGGACCTTGGAGTCTACATCAGATTGGGCCCTCTCAAAAGTTGGGCTTTATACCTTGCAGAAAACTCCCAGCATGCCTCATCCTTAAAGGAACATTGCTTTCTTTTCCCCTTAAAGGGCAATTGCCCCATCCCATGAAAAATAAAACCAGTGAAAGATCATCCTTGACCCCGAGGGATCGCTGATGAGTGGGCTTTTGTGGAGGTGAAGATGTGGACAGTACAGTCTCTGGGGAAATGGAATCCTCTACACCTTGCGAGCAGAGCTAATAATACGAAACACTTAATATTTTCATAGCATTGTGCAGACATCAATTCATTTCCAGACACAACACTTGGATCAAGTTGTAAATAAGTATCGATAACTTGGAAGTATTACAAAAAACAAACTCAAGATCCTAAATGAGGGTAAAAACTAACTTTCTGTTAAGTGTGGAAATGCCAAGTTAAGGTGGCTGATGAACATCTGTCCATGGAGCACGTGCTCAGACGCAGAATGGTTTATTCCTCAGAAGTCGGTGGGCTACATCGATGGAGGAATGTAAGTTTGGGTAACGCAGCATTAGTGGGATGCTGAGCAGCAATGCCAGGTTTGCGGCAGTTGAGAGCTTCATGTCTGTCACTGTATTATGAGTACTTAGCGAGACCCCTGCTGACTTGGGGACTTAGCTAGGGTCTCGACCAGGACACACAACCTGCCCAGCACTGCTATTTTAACAGTCTCTTCCCCCAAACCCTCTGCGCCGAGCTCCAAAAATAGTCGTTGTTTTTTTTAATCGAGCAGGTTAAAGTTCAGGCGGTGGTGACGTCCGCATTGCGTTTAACTTCCTAAGCCCGTGCTAATCCTTGCAGTGCAGTCCTTCCCCCTAGCTGGGGCGGGGAGGGAGGCAGTAATCAAAAACTGTGAAATATTCATGTCGAAAGCTGATAAACCGCTTTGAAGGTAGCCTTGATCTTTTTATATTAAGGCACAGAGTAAAATCGGGCTCACTGCAGAGCGAGGCGAAAAGTAGCTTTTTCTTCCTCCGGCAAAGAACCCAAATTTTGCTAGCAAAGGTAGGGATGAGAGAGCGCCCAGGGAACAGGTAATAAGAGACGACGTCTGTAATTCTAGCTCACTGGCTCACAGCCAGCGTTGGTTGCTGGTGGTAACTGACGTCTGATCAGCCGGCTCCTCTGTGAGACGACCTGTGGTCTCTGCCCATTTCCTGGTGGATGGGTGGCCAGGTGCCCCAATGGTTAGTGCCCTCGTAAAGATTAGCCTCCCTGCATTCCTTAAAAGTGGCCCCTGCAGGTCTGGCTGGGGAAGGTGGTCGGGGAGCTTGCGCTGCTGGGACAGTGCCCGTTCTGTAACTGAGCGAAGGCCTTCGGACTCCAGTTGGCAGGAGCTTAGTGGACAGTGTCATGCTGTGTGTGCATGAGCTCACAAGTTCGAAACCCTGGCCCCCATGACCCACCCTGACTAGGATATGAAATGACCCCCTTTCTGAGCAGTGGGAGAAGACTCATCTGCAAGCGGCAGAGCCCTGGAACTGGCTAGCAGCAGCCTGCTTTAAGCCAGGGGCTGAACATGTGGTCTGAGGAGCTTCCCCAGAAGCCAAAGGTATTTAGGGGCCCAGCGATGCAGTGAGGCATCTAGTGGGATTTTCCAAAGTAGGTTAGGTGCCAAATTCCCATTGTTTTCAATGGCAGGCACTTCCCTTTGGCAATTTTGTAAGTTCCCCCAGGCACCCGGCTGCATCTTTAAGCACCTAAATACCTGTGTCAGTCTGGCCCTTTGTACCTTCCCGATGGTCGGGGTGGGGTCAGAGCACTCAAAATGTTCGTCCTTGATAACTCCGGTCCTGTCGACTCCTAGGGCACCAGCCCACACTGAGATCTCTCTCCTCGTGGATACAGAGCTGTCTGGCCAGAGCAAGTGCCTTTCACCTGTGGGCTTAGGGTGTGAGCTGCCCTGTCTTGCGAATGAGATGCTCACTTACCCCTTATCCATGGATTGCGGGGCTGGCTTCACAGACATGGGGATTAAGCCCAGTTCTCTCTCCCTTCTAAATTCACTCTTGTCGCAGAGTTATTTTTATTTTGCTTTATCTTAAATCTGCCCTTGAGGGAGCTGGGGTGTGAGTGGAGGTGACTGGATTTCTCCCTGTTCCCTTTGCAGGCTGTACCAGTCTGTCAAGCTGCTCTACTCCATTGGGATCTTCTTCACCTACGCGCTGCAGTTCTACGTCCCTGCGGAAATCATTGTGCCCGGGGCTGTTTCCCAGGTGCCGGAGCGCTGGGCGCTGTGGGTCAACCTGCTCCTCAGGACGTGCCTCGTCTGCGTGACATGTGAGTAGGAGCCAAACCCATTTGGTTTGCTCACCTTCTAGGGAGGGGATGGGGTGCCAGCGCTTTGGGAGCCCTTGTGAAAGTATTGGCAGTGTATCCTTGAATCTTCCCCCATTGCTTACTGGACGCTCGCCTCCTCCACGCAGTCTGACACCTCTCGGCACAATAGTTAGACTCTGCCCAGGAGAGCCCGTGGCATGGGATCAGAAGTTAGGACTTGCCCAGCATCTAACCCTTCCCTGCCTCTAGTCAGAGGCTGTCCTGCTTGGCTCTGCATGCACCCGGAGTAGGAGCTGCAGGTGGTCTGTGTGTCGGAGCAGCACGTAGGAAACTTGCACAATGCTTGCCCGTGTTAGGTCACTTATCAGGGACTCATTCCCAAAGTGCCGGCTGTTGGGCGATGAAATCCCGTTCAGAATGCAAAGCGTGGGGCAAACCTCCTGGTGCACGGAGTACACACTGCAGTGCCTTTCCTGTCCGCTTATGTAGGGCTCATGTGCGTTCGTATTTGACAGTTACACCCTCTGCAGGCGGTTTCTAGCTGCTCTTCCTTGCTTTAAGGCTTGTCGGCAGCTCACAAACGGGCAACTTCCCCCAGTGGCTCAGAAGTTGCTGGCTAATACAGTAGCTGGATGGGAGCGGGCAAGATAGGGAGCGGGAGCATGTTAAATCGGCCAACCACACTTTCATATATAACTGACCTACTTCACCAGGCCTCTTTCTTTTGCATTCTGTGGACTCTGTTTTGAAAGCAAAACTCTGCATCTCCACCCACCCCTTCTAAATTAAAAACATTTTAAAAATATTTAACACTAGCACAAATGCTGGAGGTGAAGTGGGGTTTGGGGTGGAGGCTGACAGCTCGCAACTCTCCACATAATAACTTTGTGACCCCCTCAGGGGCCCCGACCCCCAGTTTGAGAACCCCTGCCTTAGACCCATTGTCCATCCGGCTAATAAGTGCGGGGGCTTTTTTATTCTCTAGTGACTTATTCTTTCCTCCCTGAGTTTGAAAAGAGATGGAGCTAGCAGAAAATGGAATTAAAAAGAGAGCAAGGCGGGTGTGGTGTTCTCCGCTCTGCTTTGAACTAAGGATAATACTGGAAAGATTAGAACCCTCATTCAGAAGGATAAGAGGACAGGAATTTGCCAGCATCTGGAGTGTCAGAGTGGGACAGAATAGATGAAATAAGGTGGGGGTGTGCACAAAAAACAGACCCTTCTGCTTTCCTGTACTACGGGGCTCTTTACTATAGGAGACAGTGCTAGAACAGAGATTCTCGGCAGAGCACTCCCCCAGTGCCAGGGGACACTTCCCCACCATTACCGCTCTAGTAGTGCAGCGGGATGCGGACTCTCCAGGTCTGAGAGACACCCAGAGTTGACGGTTTCAAGCAGCTAAGTGGAATAGGCTGGAGTGAATCCAGGGCCGGAACCGTGTGGATACGTCAAGAGGCTGGGAAAGAACAAAGGGTTAAAGGATCATCCCAGAGGTGCTAAGGGGGCCGGGCATAGATTCCTTTGTCGCACATATTCCTGCTGGGTTTGCGCACTTGGAGCGGAATGAGTGAGAACCCCTGCGATCTCTCAGAGAGGATAAAAGCCATTAAGTGGTTTGCATGAATATTAATTGGAATGATCTCATGGCCTTGGACCAAGCCTGCGTCACAAGAGAGGGCGCAGTTTGGATTTGTTTTAGCTTAGCACTTCAAAACCTACACAGTTAAAAGCCCTTTGTATTCATATCTGTGGAAAGCACAACGGTTGTCCCCTGAGGCTGAAGAACTGCAACTGGTGATTTACTTTTGCTGCTTGTTCTCCGGGGGGTTTTAATCTTGTTACTTTGAGCCACCGCAATCGAAGAAGTCGTAGGGGGCTCACGATGGCACATTTTGCAGCTGGTTACTCTGCTTGTCCTGTGAGTTGTCTCTGTAGGGTTGTGCCCTGTGGAGCCAGGAGACGGGGGGATTATTTTGACTGGGGGAAGGGGGAGGGAGAGGGGAGAGGAAAATGAGGTGCAAAAGTGTGTGGCTCCTGTTATCCCTAGCATCCCTCCCTCCCTCCCATCCAGCTCACACCCGTAACTTGAGCCAGAACTGAGCAAGCGTCATACTTGAGTTAAGCAGTGGAACAGGGCAGCCCCCCGCTTAAACTGCCCCATTGGAGTTGGGAGTTTTTGTCAAGAGCTGAAGCCTCTTTTCTTACGGAGCTTTGTAAGTGATCCAGGCTTCCTTCGCTCCGTTGCGTGGCAAGATGGCCGCCTGTTCCTGGAAGTGGCTCAGTGCCAGTGAAATATCTGCTTCTATGTAGTGGCCAGTATCTCAATACGATCACTCTGTCCGGTGTAGCGTTTGGGCCACTTGCTGAGCCCGCTTCTGAGGCCTGGGAGCCCAAGACCTGAGTTCTAATCTTGCCGTTGACGCTGACCAACCTTCCTGACAAGGTGGTTCGCCTTGAGGTGAAAAGGATTGTAAATTTTGAGAGGCTGCATCTGCCATCAATTATGTGGCTACAATTCCTGTTGACTTCAGTGGGAACTACTCCCTGTAACTGAGGGCAATCATCTGTGGCTATCTTGTGCAAGCAGCAGCCTGCTTATAGAGGCTAATTGACTAGCTTTAGATGAGCAGGTGACACTAAAGTTCAATGCCCAGATGTTTGTCTAGAGCAAACCAGAGGACTCCAGGCAGACAGAGCTGTGGTAGTAATATAGGGAAAAGTTACAGGAATGCTACAAGTTCATGAATTGCTCAGAGGTGCCCCCTATTGGCGTTAGAGGATGCTGCATTATGAACAGGCTGTAGCAGGAATCTCTCACTCCAGCACTCCTAGGGTGAGCTGCTTGCTGGCTTGATTGTGATCATCTCTCCTAGCCTCGCTGCTTCTTAATCCGTGAACGTGCGGTCTCCTTTGCTAGGTACTGCATGCCTTCTGGCGGGCTGGCTCCTGTCACCTGGCATGCAAAAAGACGCATCGCCTCGTTGAACGTAATGTGCCAGAACCCTGGTGTCTACTCTGCTTCTTCCAGTAGGTGGCGTCGGTTGTGGCTATTTGCTCCAAACCGTAAGAGCCATAGTCCTCTGTGCCTCAGATCAGCCTGAGACAACTTTCAGCTCCGGTGCTCCTGGTCTTTCCAGGAAGACTTGCAGCAGAGCAGGGAAGACCGGACTTGACACCAAGCCCTGGGCTACACTACAGATGTATGTTGGGATAACCGCATTGCTCAGGGGTGTGGAAAATCCACAACCTTGAGTGATGCATTTATACCGATCGAACTCCTGGTGTAGACTGCGCGATGTTGACGGGAGGGCTTCTCCTGTCACCATAGCTACCGGCTCTTGGGGAGGTGGAGTACCTACGCTGACGGGAGAAGCTCTCCTGTCCGCAAAGATAGTGCCTTTACTAAGTGCCACCGCAGCTCAGTGCTGTAGGGGATAGACAAACCCTAAGACTACTTCCTCGCCCCTTTTTCTTATGCTCCAAAGACAGGCAAGAGCACACACCGGATTGGTTTTCTCCTCAGGTCATATTTACAGTGGAAAGGGGTAGGGTGAGCTCTGCATCCAGTTGATCTCATGCTGCTGTAACCTTACTCAGAGACTTACTGCAACACACATCTGCAAAACCCTATGCTAAAGAAGGTCCTGAACTGTCTAAGCACGGTGGGGCCACAGCAAGACAAGTTGGCCTTAACTCAGGAGTTGCTGCCTGTGTTGACACATTGTTTAATTCTAGCAAAACTCGATAGAGAACAGATTTCTGTTGCAATCCCTCGGCCCTCCCTGAGGTTTCACCGTGGCCAGTCTTTAGCTAACCAGCCAGGCTTGTTCGTGCTGTGGAATTAGATGGCTGTTACTTTCAAGGCCCTGATCTTGTGACATGATTAGAAAGCTCTGTCAGAGGCGCTCACCTAAGCGAGTTGCTGCATCGGTGGCTCTGTACTTTGCTTTCTGACGGTCACATAGCCACCGAACGCGATGCAGACTCCCAGGCTGTCAGAACCTTCGGCTCCAGTCGCTGTAATAGAGTTGAGTTGCCATCTTACCCTGCTGCCCCTCACCCCGCGGCTGTATTGGCAGAATGACCCCTGGACTGAAGACCTTGGTGTTGGGGGCACTGTGATGCAAGCTGAACAGCGCCACGTTTCTTTCCAAGCACGTTTCTTGTTCCGTTGCACAAGAGATCTGTTTTCTGGTGACCCATATTAAAACAAATAAGCTCTGGGTGCAAAAATGCCATGTTTGTTTTTTCTATATCCTGGGCTCTAGGAGTTGGATCTCCCCCCTCCCCTGAGTGGGTAGCAGACAGTATTTTTTTGACAGGCCGTGTTTTCAAAGCAATCAACCAATTTCCTTTTCTCTGTGGTGATTATGCTTTGAAGTGCCCTACTTTCATTGCCGAGAATCTTTTTGTTGTGCAGAATCCGGTTGCCTTCCTTCTTAGGATTTTGTGTCACTGAAAAGCCCTAACAATGCCATTGAGCACCAGAGCTGAAGAGGGCTGGAGAGCTACCCACCTTGTCTTTTCCTTTCCTAATAAGTCGGCTGTTTGGGGCTTGGCCCTTACAGCAATTTTTTTTAATTGATTTATTTTATTGAACTGCTGTCTGTGGTACTTATCCGGCCCCACTACTGTAGTGTTGGAGTGCCTCAGGCGTTAAGGCACTAATCTTCACAACAGTCCTGTGAGGTAGGGAAGTGGTGGTATTGCCATTTTACAGATGGGAAGCTGAGGCATTATAAAGCTAAGTGACTTGCCCAAGGCCACACAGGACATCTGTGGCGGAGCAGAGGATTGTACTCCGCTCTCTAGTGTCCCAGACTAGTGCCCTAACCACTGGGCCGTCTCTCTTCGGTGTTGTAAGTTCATCATTCTGCCTAGGATTACAAAAAACGAAGCTCCATACACCCAGGCTAATGTGGCTGGAGGCTGAGAGAACATCCCACAAGTAGCTTGGAGTTTCTCTCTCCGTTTCTGTGTAGCAGAGCATGTATCACACCCAGGGGCCAATATGCAACTTCAGTAATGGAAATCATTAGGGGCAGTTAAACCAGGGTAAGTATTTTCTGTAAGCGTTGAAGCCGAGGGGAAGAGTGGCCTGAGACGCTGGGAAAGTGGGGAGAGGCGGAGATGGATGTGAGGAGTCTCATGACAGCATGTGGCTGGTGGGCCCTTCCGTTGGAACTGAGTGTCGGGAACACCTTCTGTTTCTGGAAGTGGAGTCTATTGGTTGTCACCCGGGCTGACTTGGCGTCGCGTGCTCCTTTCTTCGCTGTGATGATGGCCCTTCAGCACTGGTGCCAGAAGATGGGCACTGACCTCTGTTTTAATTTACACCTTTTTGGGTAGAGCAGGGTGCTAAGTTCTTTTTTTTTCTGGGCAGTTACTGTCCGGGTGAAGAATGTGAATTGTGCAGGAGTGCTGGGACTGCAGATAGCGTTCAGTGGGGCCTGTAATACTTTACAGATTCTGTTAACAAAGAACCGAAAGGCATTGGCCCGGCAGCAGGATCCGGGTTTCGGGTCATTATCATGGAGGTCATTGTTTAACCAACTCAGCGTGTTAAGTGGTAAAGTCAGAGGCAGTGCTGTCCCGCTTCCTCTGCTGCCTTTGACGTCTTTTCCTGCTCTGTGGTGGTCACCCCTCCCACCTCCATCGCAAGCTGCCCTGTGCACTAATGATCTAGCCCCTATCTTCTCTTCCACCTTCCCGCAGAGGCAGCAGAACCCATGGGGGGTGGGGAGGGGGCCTAAGCTTAAACTCTAAAATAACTTGCCCCTGGATGCCCAGCCTGGTCCAGGGAGTCCTGAGACAGCTGATGAGGCTTGCCAGATCTGTGGTTTAGTCCTTTGTACAGGACTGCTGTCCGACACATCCTGTTGCTCTGAAGGAACCTACCCTCTGCTGAAGAGCAGCATTCCCCATTGCAAGGAGACACTCACCCCTCGGGCTGCTGGCCTTTCTGTGGCCTGGCCAGCTGGGAGCACAACACCCTTCTGATTCCCGCTCAAACCCGACGCCTCGGTCTGGTGGCCACCGAGGGGACCCCCTGCTCCCTGGACTGAAGGGGAGAGGGTGTGGCCGTGTCAGTGTTCTTCTGGGAAAAGATAATGGCCACGGTTCTTGGGACCGTGAACCTGACTGATTCCCGGAGCGAAGCTGCCACCGTGGGGATTTCTGGGTGCAGCCCCATGACTCATTTAATGATATGCGAGTCCAGGAGCGATGGTGCCGAATCCCTGTGCACGATGGATCTCCATGGCACCCTAGTGCACTCCTGGAGGAAGAGCCCCTCCCCCCCCCCAATCTGGTCACAGTCTCTCTAGCCAATCTTGTGTGCACGCTGGGGCAAGGTGAAGCTCCAAATGGCTTCTCAATACCGAGTGCCAAGGGGCCATTCAGGAAGACCAGCCCCTGAAAAGCTACAATGCTGCCTCGGGCGTGGGGGAGGTTGTGCCTGGATTGGGTCGTTCTGTACCCTAGACGTGTGTTGTCACTTTAACAGTCTGGGGGGGGAGGGCAGGAAGAGACACCCAGGCTGCTGGCTTCCAGCAAAGCTTGCTTTGATTGGTGGGCAGAGGGAGATATAATCCAGGGGGCCAAACACAGACCCCCTGCTGCCTCATTCACCTGACGTTGTGGTAGCCTGTCTGTTCCCACCTGCTCAGAGGAGAGCGGTCTCTCTGCAGGTGCCAGTACTAACAGCCCTGTGTTTCTCTCTCTCTCTCTCTCCCGCCCCCCAGGCCTCCTGGCAATCCTGATCCCCCGCCTGGACATCGTCATCTCTCTGGTGGGCTCCGTGAGCAGCAGTGCTCTCGCCCTCGTCATCCCTCCCCTGCTGGAGATCACCACCTATTACTCCGACGGCCTCCACCCTGTCACCATCGCCAAAGACATCCTGATCAGCGTCCTGGGCTTTGCGGGGTTTGTGGTGGGCACCTATGAGTCCCTTTGGGCTCTGGCCACCCCCCCCATTTCCAACACCACCAATGCCTTGGTACAGTGACCCCTTTTCCTTCTCCCGCTCCACCACAGCAACGCCGTACAGCCTCTTGGCAGCTCACGGGGTTTTCATCAGGGTCATGACAGCGAATCTCCCTTCCTTCTCTTTAAAGGCATTTGTCCAGGAGAAGTGAGGGTCAGTGCACAACCAGAAAAGACAGGACCCTGATTCCCTTTCCCTCTCCTCATAGCGTGCGGTTCCCACTTCGGGGGTCTCATTGCTTGGGTCTGGGAGCCCTGCAGAGATGACTTGCGGCCCCTGGTTGGGATGGAGTGCCTTCCTTCGCTCCACCGGGATCCTTCTGGCAGATTAAGATGACATACCTACAGGTGCCAAGGTACTGCAGTTTGAAGTGGACATGCTCTAGACTATAGAGTACCAAGGGGAGGGAAGAAACCTTTGGGCTCGTTCAGGGATCTAGATGACTGCTTCACAAGCAAGGGTACCTCTACCCTTCCCAAACTCCCCTCTGCCCAGAAAAAGAGAATCTCCGAGTCTTTTCTGGTGCCAATTCTTTTTTTTTTCAGCACTTTAATTCATGGCACCACAGCAATTCCAGCCAGTGAGTGACACATTAGAGCCCTCATCCCTAAGAGCTGTAAAACCTGGAAAATTACAGTGACAGCAAGGGGAAAAGGGAGCAGGAAACTGCACAAGGAGAGAGAATCTCTTGTATGCGCTGTCCTGGCAGGCTGACCGTCGCAGCCCGGTCTAACACTCACTGTGGGTAAGCCGGGCCTCGGTGGGTAGAGCACTCTCTAGCTTGAGGGGCCAAACACATGAGCATTAGATGGCAACGTTTATTGGAAGCCACATTACAAACCCGTCTGTCAGGGCCTTTTTCAGCCTAGATCCCCCTACCACACCCCATCTCCGGCTCCGTCCATTGTAGGTAGTGTGGGATAAGGCAAGTCTGTGTGTTTGGGTTTCAGAGAGGAATTGGGGGATTGTGCTAAATCCCTGGTTTAAGTTTAGTTGTGATTTCCCCCCCCTCCCCCCATCGTAGACTCTGTATAAGGGATACGGGGTTATCGAAAGCATTAGGAACAAGGTACCCACGGAACAGGCTGGGAGGGTGTCTGGGGGCTCCAAGGTACTTAACTGCTGAGGCAGTTATTTTATTCTTGAACTAGGAGCCCACTTTCCTTTACACCTTTTCTTTTATATAAAAAAAAAAAGGCGGCACGGGACAGGGATGTCCCCTTGCCGGTACTTCTTTAAGCTCACTCCTCCTCCCCCTGGAACGCACCCCGCCTACAAGGGATGTCTTGTGTTTACACCCACCATAGCTACGCCCCTACCTCACTGTTTGTTCTAAATCACTGATCGCGCAAATGCTGAATCATGACGCCGAGAACCGAAGGCACATTGTTATAATGAACCTGCGTTCCTCTTCTCTTCCCCTGCTGGATCTATCCTTTGTTCTCCAGCTAGTTAAGTGGGGGTCCCACTACTTGCTAGGTAGGAAGAAGCGTTATCTGTTTTACCCACTTGGTTTGATTAGCGAGGGAAGGGAGCTGTCTCTTTCGTGTTCCTCTTTCATTCATTTCCCTTTACTTCACACTGGATCTCTAGACAGCGATAAGCTGTTTAAAGCTTTGTCATGGTCATGCTTCGGTAAGGAGTGGCTTGACACGACACCATAGCTCTCATTCATGTGGCTTGTAACAGTTTGTCAATGACCAAAGGACTAGAGTAAGCGATCTTGGACCTGGATGCAGGGTTTGATTTTTAAAAATCTCTTCCTTCTGGTTAGCGTAAGAGGAAGGCATCACTCAACGTCTGAATGAAAGCACTAATGAAGGGAGTGTTCGTAAAGTGACGGCTGGAAATCAAATAGCGTCCCAGTATATGCTTCAGCACACAGACCCATCCAGGACTACTTTGTAGTGATTGTTTTTTGTAATTTAGTTTTTTACATCGATTTTTAAAGGCGCTGCCAAGACCCCAGCAGGATGGTTTGTTAATCTCATGTCTAAAAGTAAGCCCAGTCTGAAAGGGCATTGGGCTGAACTAGGATGGGGCAGGTAGGGCCAATGTATATTCATCTTGAAATAGAAGCTTGGAAGCCAAACTTGCAGCAGGTGATCGACAGAGGTTTGTTCCCAAAGCCCTGTGCTGTAATATGAATGGTCTGAAGGGAGGGTTGATGCTGTCTCTAAACCATCCAAAACCTCTGAGCTCTTGGACGAGTGTAGCAATGGAAAGATCAGTCTGTACAATGCCTGGAGCATTTCATTTCATTAGAACGGGAGCAGGGTTTGATTTCCCCTTGGCTGCAAAGTGGCTGACTTAGGTAACTAGCAGGGCCTAGCCGCTAGCCTCTACAGCCTGGAAATGGAGTCTGTGTGCTTTTTTTTTTTAATTGGCAATTCCAAAACATGGCTGGCAGGTCCTGCTGCACCCAAGAGGTTGGGTTGTGACTACCTGACCCCGAGGGCTTTACTGGAAGGTGTCAATTTATGCTGCGGCAATACCAAGGATTGGTTTTAAAGGGTACACTAGTAAATGGGGTTATTGTGTTTTTTGCTGTTTCTTCAAAAGCTGCTTGTCTCTCCAGGAGCCCTTAGGGAGATGTTTAGGAAGCAATTGTGGACCTACATTTTCTGTGCTTCTCTCTCCCTGTACATTCCTAACACAGATGTTTTCATTAAATGGAGAGTTCACTTCCTTAATCAGCTCCTGTTACTCAGGTTGTTTCCTGAAGCAAACAAACCCTTCACAGATTAAGTTCAGATCTCCTTGAAAACAGCCTGACCAAAACAATGCATATTGGCACCTCTCCAACCCCTGGCGTGGGCCAAGCTTCTTTTCCGCTCTCTCTTACCTCTCCTTCAAAGCCTCAAAGTGTGTCCTCCCGGGGGCACACCTTTCCTTTAGAGATCCTCTCTCCCACCCCGCAGATACCCTGCTCTCTCTGCAGCCTCAGTGCAGCCAACAGATTCTAGGAACAGGTCCCATCTGGTCCGAGAGCCAGCCCTGGTTTCAGCAAGGAACACTGTGATTGGTTTGAACTGAACTTGAGGAAATACAGGCAAATTTGGCATGCGAGCATCTTGTTTCTGACACTGGAGAACAGCGGGGCTTACAGTTCTTTGGTGTTTGACCTCTTTTGAGAGAAGACCAAATGCCAGGATGAGAAGGTATCTGGAGATGAGCTCCAATACATAAACTGCCTCCAGGTCCTTCCTATTGTACGGAGGCTACGTAAGTAGCCTCTTTCCCCGCAATGCAGCCGCAGTATAGAAATTGCATTTGGTTCAGCACAGGGTGCATATGTTGTCGAGACCTCTACACCCGTGTGCCCAAGCCTGGTGTCTTCCTGCAAGATTGTCAAGCCAGTCATGTGGTGGTGTAGCTTTTTTTTTTAGTTGCAGGTGGCTATATCTTATGCTCCTTTACACATTCACTGCCACTCACGTCATCGGAGTGGCTGCAGCTGCAAAGCAAAACCTGCTCCATCTGCAGCCTTCCTGCTGAAGGTCATAGCAAGCCCAGCAGCCAGTGAGGGCTTATTACTGTTTACTTAGGGGACACTCTTGAGTTGCCAGTTGCTGGAGTGTCCCTTTAAGACCAAGGACCTGACCCTGATGTCGCTTGCTTTGGTGTAAAGTTCAAGTAACTGCCCTGAGATCAGTGTGAGCGAGATCAGGATCAGCAGGGCCCCGGTTTCATGGAACTGCACCGGGGAATAGAGCCTGACGTGCACACTACATATGGCAAGAGTGCAATGGAAAAGATCATTGTATATAGAACTTACTCTGGTGTCTGATTTCATTACTGACACGCAGAATCATTGGGCTGCACCTTTTCTACCCAGCATCGTTGCATGCTGGAGTCTCGGGGAACGGTTTCTCTTGGCTTCATGGCTTTGCCTTCTGCTTGATGGAACGTTGGCAGCAATTGATAGCCACTACCTCCTGTTATCAGCAGGGCTCTCCTTTTCTGCCAGCCAGCCAGCGTAAGGATTATTACATCGAATGGAACACTAATGTGGGTGTCGCTCCCCCTGCCACTCCCACCCATCCACATATGCTGCTCTTGGCCTCTAGGCAGTCCTGATTGATCACTGAGGGGTGTCTCTTCTCCATTTCCCCAGGTAGAAGTGGCAGTTCAAGTTAACCTCAGCACTGCATCAACCCCCCCCCTCACACCATGTAAAAATACTAATGTCAGAATTATTGCTAATGGGACATGTACTGTTGGGAGCGATAACTTGTAGTCTGTCCCCTCTTCCCCCACCTCCATTTAAAAGCTCTTTCTGTTGTCAGCCGAGTTGATGCAACACTATACAGCTCCAGGGGTTGGCTCAGTGGGCACTCTTGCACAGAACACAATATAGATTCAATATAACTTTGCAGAGCACTTGGATAACACGGGATTATTTGCTCTCTGAATATTAGCAGCTCGCTGCTGGCTCAGAAGAGGGGGAAAATGGTTTTGTTTGTAGTAACTGCCTTGGCCATATGATCATGTTTCGAGTGATATTGTAGAAGTGGCCATATCTCCTTTTGGAGCTCCTGGTCGCATTTGACATGCATATCATGCTGTCCCTCTTCACTCCCAGTGGGGCTCCAGTTCTGGTGTGGTACCACATCTCCAATCAAGGGAATGAAAAGGGCATTTCATGGCAGAGCAGAGGGAAGGAGTGCATGACATGCCCATCTGCAATGGTAAAGAAACCCGGGACAAAATTCCACTTTAGATTTACCCCTGTGTAACCAGAGTAACTCCATTCACAGTCAATGGAGTTACGCTGGCTTTACCCCTGATGAGAGCAGCATTTGGTCCCTGGTGTTAGAATGAATGGTTGACCTGGCAGTTCAAGTAGCTGTGAATTTAGACTGCAATCAGTGCTGAAGTCCTCACATTTGAGGTGCTTGTAGATTCTTATGATCAGGACGTTGTTCACATTTTTTTTGGACTAGCTTAAATGTTGGGCCTTTCTGCTATATTTAAATGAAAATAAAGGGGTGGGGAGCAGGGTGCATTTACCTGGGGTTACACTTATCCATGGAATGACTGAATAATTGTGGAGCGAAGTGTATTTTGACATAAGGTAGTCACAGCCAGCATAGGACTGGATGATCAGTGAGACCTACCATTTGACTTCTACATTGTCAGCAGGTCAGTGACCAGGAAAAGTGTATGTGTAACTATATCTAATCTGTTGTGTGTGTTTTTCGTGTCAGCATGTGTATATATATATATTGCCAGCACACAGTATGTATATCTGCCCAGTGAAAGAACTTATTTGTATTTGGTGCTGTACCTGGATCATGTATTCTGTTATTTTATTCAATAAATAAGGTCTATTTTTATTTTATTAAAGGCTTCCATGATGTGATTTTTGTACTAAGAACTTTATTTTTTTTTTTAGATGTTGGATAAATTTTACCCTTTTGGGTTAAATGTCCATAGGTACCAGCTGTGATCATTTATATGTAACAAGTAGGCTGTTCTTAATAATTATTTAAGATTCTTAATTATTGGGGAGGGATAGCTCAGTGGTTTGAGCATTGGCCTGCTAAACCCAGGGTTGCGAGTTCAATCCTTGAGGGGGCCACTTAGGGATCTGGGGCAAAATCAGTACTTGGTCCTGCTAGTGAAGGCAGGGGGCTGGACTCGTATGACCTTTCAAGGTCCCTTCCAGTTCTAGGAGATAGGATATCTCCATTAATTCAGTATTCAATTCAACACTGTTAAATATTGTTTGGCACCCAAAATGTGCAAGGCGTTTTATCAATGACCTTAAGCCATGGGTCCCGGCCCCCAAAGGGCTTGGCATGTAAATGATGAAACTCCTGTCAGATCCAGGACATAGGTGGCTGGGCCTAGGGGTTAGTGTAGGACAGGGGCCCGGATTCCTGTGTCAGAATGGGGTTCAGGACCAGGAGCTGAGGTCAGGAATTGAGTCAGTTATCAGGCCTGTTAAGGATCAGGAGACAGGAGCGGTTAGCACTCGGTGATCAGGATGGAGCCCAATTGTACAGATAACTTCCTGTTCCTCCTTCTGGCTTAAGTAGGGGGGGAACAGGCCACTCAAGTCCTCGGGTGTTCCACCAATCAGGGCCCAGAGGTGGAGCCTTCTAGCTGATGCCATTAAGCTGTTGGGTGGAGCATTGACCCCCCAGGAGCCTTGTGGGCCCAGGTTTTAGACATGTGGGTCATGACAATGGCACAGGAGGGAAAAACAAAAGAGACGGCAGCTGGCAGGGAGATCTGTAGATCCACCTTCCCTTCCCTGGCACGGAAATAAGGGTATGGAGGTCACATATGCAACATAAAATGAACAAGTCTGACTGGTTCTAAAGTATCCCAGATCTGTGCAAATTGGTTACTTCTCCCCTGACCAGGAAAGGGGAGGTCATGGTGACTATAAATCTGCATTGTGGGAGAAGGGGTTTCAAAGCCACCAGGGGAAATAGCTGTCCAGCTCCCATCTATTTCTAATAGACCTAGACACCTGATTGCCATGAGGCAGCTTTGAAAATCTATGCCTACATCTCCTAACTCTCCTCCCTTCCCTCCTAGCACTTTCTAATAAGTTGCTTTTGAGAGAGACTGAAGCCAGCCCTTCTGCAGCAGGCGCGCAGAACCTGTAATTCCTCAGTTCCAAGCACTGTATCTAAACGTGTGGAGACTTCTACGGCATTGGAGAATTCGCAGGGCTTCACCTGCAAGAAACTATACTCAATGGGAGCTGGTTGGGAGTGGATTATTGAACAGGTGCATCATGGGGCACCCAAGAGAGGCAAAAGGGAGTAATAGAAACTGCTAAATTTAGTGGGCAGTATGCTAAGCAAATACTTTATTAAAATACCCCAGCATGTTTGCCCTTACATGGCATGACCTTCCTTTTTAATTTCTTCCAAGGGACTTGTCTATGCTGGGGAATTGCAAGCAAGGACAAGGACTGTCATTTGTGTCAGCAAGTTGTGAACACTGAATGCTAAGCTGTGTTTAACACCGTTACTGTAACTCCGCAATGTCGCTTCCCAGTGTATTCAACAGTGTATAAACAGCATTTTGCACTTGTGTAGTGCACCCAGTGAATTGTTTTTGCACTTGTGTAGTGCTTCCCCTTCCCAACACCAATGAACTAACTCGCCAGTTAATTCATATATCCCCATTTTACAGGTGGGGAAAACCGAGGCAGGGAGAATTAAGTGATTTGCTCAAGGTCATATAGGAAGCTGCAGCAGAGCTGTGAATAGGACTTGGGGTGTCCTGGCTTCTCCTCTTGTGCCGGCACCATAAAATGATTTTTTTCTCTCTAGTAAACGGTCCAACTTACTAGTATTCAGTTTTACGTTTTCTGTTTCTCCTGTAATAAGTTCTGACCATCACCTCACTTTATAACCTACTTGTAAGAACAGGGACTAAAATGATGCCTTAATCCTGCATCTGGGTGGAAGGACCTGGGTTTGTTCCTTTCACTGTCGAGTGTTGGTCAAACTGTTTTCCTGCTGGGACTGCAGGAAAGCCAGCTGTGTTCTATTCACCTCCTGTATGATCAACATAATTGCTGCCTAAATGCTTGTTACAGAATCTTTACTGCTAGTCCCAGTGTGCAAAGCAGAAGCAAAAGTTTGATCTTCAATTAGCAGGTCAAGCTTGTGGTTCCAAGGGTTGTGACTTATCAATTGAAATTAATTTGTTCTCCCCATCAGTGAGGGAGACAAGTTTGGGTAGAGCCCTATGTGGATGCAAAATCCGCATCCATCCACCATCTGAAACCTGGTCTGCGAATATAAAGCAGATAGCCGCAGATGTGCGGGGCTCTAAGTATGGGACATATCAACCTTTCTACAGTACGGACAGGGTGTTTTCTTTCTAAACTGCAGATGGAGCTAGGGTTTTCAGAAAGTATCTGTAATCAGGAAAGATCTGTAGATCCACCTCCTGTATATATGAGTCTGTCTGTCTGGCCACATGGATGCAGAGTTGTACCCGATCCACCCAACAGCATGATATGAAATTCACCTGCACTCTTTGATAGTTACTCATTTGGAAAGTACAGCAACAAGGCTGGAACTTGAATTCTCTTCAGATACTGCTGAATAATTCATGTTGCTGCTGTATGTCATTATCAGGGCCATTTGGAAAATCAACTCTAAAGACATTAGTCTCTGGGTTTGAAGGATGCTTGGCTACCAAGCACAAGAAATTGTCCATAATGGATGGAAGGCCTGAGCATTGGGAATTTATGACCCCAGGAACAGGACCAAAGTGGCACCTAACTGCCCTTTGTGCCTTTTGCAAATCAATCCATTCTGTGGGTGGCACCATTCTCCAGCAGCTGTTTGGGTAGTGGGAGAAGAGGGAACCTCCTTGCACACTGCGCTGAGGGAACCTGGCATTTGGAGGATCACATCTTCAGTCAGCTGATGGAGTTCCTGAATAGAGCGGGGTCAGTTTTGGGAAATGGGGAGGGATAATCTCCAAGTTCAGCAGAGTGAATTCTGCGTTGGGAGGGAGGAGAGTCCACTAGTCCCTTGTCCTGTGTGCCACTCACAGTAGCAAGACAAAGATGCTACCCTCTTGAACAAGCTCAGTATTAATGCGGAGATTATAAGTCTTCAATGTTTCAATGTCAACATGAGCCAAATAATCAGTTTGAAGCCAGCCCCTGGCATGAAGTGGATACAGCAGTGTTTCTCAACCTATTTACCATTGTGGGCCGCAGGTTGAGAACTATTGGCCCGCCCAGCCCTGCATTGCCAGGCTGCCCCTTCTTGGGGGAGACCCGCACCATGTGCCGCACCGCCCCTGACTCCCTATGCCTGGTAACCCCCCTGCTAAATCCCCCCACAAACCCCAATGCCCAGAGACCCCTCTACAGAGCGGGGCTAGCAGCCAGGACCCCAGGTGCGGGGCCAGGAGTGGAGCCCCATGTAAAACCTGGGGGTGCTGGAGCATGTCCCCACAGGGCTAGTGTCTGCATCTACGCTGCCCAGCACCCTCACCAAATCCCCCACTTCCTACTGTCTGTCCCCCCTAAACCTCCCCAGAGCCTCTCTCTCCTGCACCCTGACAGGGCCCACTGCTGGCAGGAGCACTCTAGCAGGGCTGTCTGGCACGCTCTCCTCCACTGCCAGCCCTGCCCCCGACAGATGGGCGCAGCAAATTATGAATGTTTTTAGCACACAGCTGCGGTCCAGCTGTATGCTAATTGGGCTGTGGGTTGAGAACCAGTCCACTGGTATTCAGTATGTCCATTGCTCTCACCAGTAGATTTCAATTACACGTCCTTCTCTCCCACTAGTTTGTAGTTTGAGCATGCATTTAGTAAAGCAGGTGCTACCCTAGGCCAAGCCGGGTTCAGACTGACTGCAAATTCATACATCTCATTTTCTTCAGGGCCAACTTACCAGTACGAGAGCACTTCTAACTCTATCTGATTTTACTAATTTAAGGGCCCTTTCATTTGAAGTGTTGGGTGTCCTCAGCATGCACTGAAGTTGATCAGTTGAGCTTGCTTCATTCTGTTTGTTACCGCTACGTGCTTTATTGAAAGTTTAAGGAGAGTTGATTCCCCCCCCCCCATGCAATGGGTTGCCAACTTTCTAATTGCACAAAACCAAACACCCTTGCCCTGCCTTTCTCCAAGCCCTGCCCCATTCATTCCATCTCCCCTCCCTCTGTCGCTCGCTCTCCCCCACCCTCACTCACTTGCTCATTTTCACCAGGCTGGGGAGGGTCCCTTTTCGACCAGGTGTTCCGATTGAAAACCGGATACCTGGCAACCCTTACACTAGTCACTGCATATGTGCTGTGGGCCAAGGAAAAAAGCCAGGGGGACCATTAGAAAATAAAGAATTTCTAATATCAGAGCCCACCAAATCTGTCCATTTCATTCACAATATTCCACTAGCAGCTTCTTAAGAAATAAATCCCCCAACCTTAAGGTGGGAAGACTTTTAATTGAAACCCTTAGCTAAAATCTAGCAGCTGTAGGTCTTAGTCTAGGCTGAGCTCTTAACTCACATTAAGCTTCTGAAACTGGAATGGGCTCCCAGAACTGGAGCAAGGTCCTAAGTTGTGCTAAATATCCAGGCTGGACTGAGTTCCTGACTATGCTGAAGGGCTGGAATAGACGTCTGACTAAACTGAGCTCTCACGCTGCAGTGAGGTATTCAGGGCTGGAGTTCATCATAATAGAATATCAGGGTTGGAAGGGACCTCAGGAGGCCATCTAGTCCAACCCCCAGACAGATTTTTGCCCCAGATCTGTAAATGGCCCCCTCAAAGGATTGAACTCACAACCCTGGGTTTAGCAAGCCAAGGTTCAAACCACTGAGCTATCCCCCCATTAGTTTTAGT